TCTGCTCACTATGCCAACCTGAAGTGTTCGTCCTCTTTCCGGACAATATGCAGGAAAGATATCGGGGATGTCTGCCATGTCTGCCACGAGCATCAGCGACGGTGTCATGATCTGCCTTTTCAGGAAACCAATTTCTCCACCGCCGTCAACGCCTCACTCCCTCAATAATAGACTCCGAAGAGAAGAAGAACATGTTCTCCATGATCTGCACTCACTTCTGAGGACTGTGACGAAGGCGGACAAACGGACTGCCTTTTGTAACTTCAGTGTCCGCGTCAGGGCAGACCATACTACCTGGAGAGGATTGCCGGCTCCTGGCAGCTGCAACGACAACGGCCCCCACCTTCAGAAAACCGGCCTCCTACTGACCAACACCTTCTTCCGTCCTCCGACGCGGGAGTGGGAAACCTGGATGCATCTTCGATCGCGGCGCTGGTGCCTGCTGGACTACGTTCTCGTCCGGAGGCGATATCGTCTAAACATGCTCGTGATAAAGGTAATCTGCAGTGCGGGCTGCCGGACAGACCACCTCCTTACTATCTTCCAGATGAGGCTCCGACTGAAACCTCGCAGGAGGCCGCAAGGTAAACGACCGCGAGGTTAGTTTACTACTGTTTTACTGAATTTGTCTGCCCACCGCTTAAAGTTTACTAATCACTTGGCCCAACCCGGGGAAGATCTGGGCTAGATCGCAGTTGATAGCCAGGCCCCGTATTACAGGTGGCTGGAGGGTTTGTTTACTGGGGCTATTTTGTGGGGCTCCATAATCACATCTGACCCATTTTGCTTCCGTTTTACGTTTGAGATTAGGATTAGGGTACCGATTAATTGTTTTCCATTTTCGGGTTTTAGAGTTACGGTTAGGGTTTGAGCGTTCGAATTGGTTTTAGTATTACAGTTAGGTTTCTCAGTTGCGGCTCTGTCTAAGGGCTACGGTTACGTTTACGATTTCCGTTAGGTTTAGGGTTGCCGTTGAGGTTAACGGTTAACGTTTAAGTTGGAGGTTAGGGTAGGGTTAAGGTTGGGATTAGGGTTAAGGTCGCCGTCTGCTTCCCCATTCCTGGCTTCTAACTGCGATCTAACCAAGATCTGCAGGCCCTGAACGGTAACGCCACCATGCATGCATGATGGTGTCAACTTCGGAGCGTCATCCACCTTACCGCCCAGGACGTCCTCGGTCGTGCATGTTGTCAACACTAGAACTGCTTTGACGAAAACGGCTCGGAAATCAGCAACCTATGCGCGGAGGAGAATAGGTTGCGTGAAGTCTACATCAACCGCGATACCGGGTGCAAACAAAGTGACCTACTTCGGATGTCATCGCCTGGTGTGGCAACGGCTGCGGGGGGTGCAAAAATGAGTGGATGGATCGCAAGACCGAGGAAATCCAGGGATAAGTGGGCTGCAACAAAGTTAAGAATTTCTTCGCCTCCATCAAGGAAGTCTATGACTTCGCACAGCAGGTCATCTTTTGCAGAACAGCACTTCTAATGGAGAAATCACGAAACGTTAGGCTAAATGCTTTAGAGTCGTCCTCAACCGTCCATCGACCGGCTCCAAAAAGTGGAAATCGATACCGACATAGACCGTCCGCCTTCCCCATCAGAAATTATCAAAGCGGGGAAACAGACGTCTCACTGGAAAGCCCCGGCGTCTGACGCATTCCCGAGTACAACGGCTTCCGGCAGATGGACAAACTCACACCGATATTCCAGGTAATGTGGCCCAGGGACAAGCCCTCCGGATTTCAAGTGCGCGATAATAGTCCATCTTTGTAAGCGCATAGGGGACCGGCAATTCTGTGATAATCCCAGAGAAGTCTCGCAGCTCAACGTTCCGGGGAATATTTTCACACGATCCTTCTCGGTCGTCTAATTAGTCACCTGAAACACGGCCTTCTTCCGAGAAGCCATTGTGACTTCCGGCAATACGGCGGAATCACTGACTGGGTCTTCGCTGCCGGAGATGCGGATCCACCTCTACATTATCTTGTGGACCTGACAAAAGCCTTAGACAGGGTGGATCGCGATGAACTCTGGAAAATCGTACAAAAATTCGGCTTGCCTGAGCGATTCGCACACATGGTACGTCAGCTCAACGACGGAATGATGACACATGTCACGAACAATAGGACAGTCGTAGAAGCCTTCGCAATGACCAGTGAAGTGAAGCAGGGCTACGTAATTGCTCCCACCGCTTTAGTCTCATGTTCTCTGCTATGCTATTAGATGTCAATCGGCATGAGCCACCTGGGATCAGCATTGTCTGGGGGACCGACTGCCAACTTCTCGATACCTGACGCATGCGGAACCCAGCCCGTCTCTCTGTGACAACCACCAACTATCCAATACTCGCGGACGACTGCGCATTCACCACCGCGACGAAACTGAAAGAGCAACGGAGCAAGAATCTCTTCGCCGTACATACTTCGGGGTGACCATCAACACGGATAAAGCGGTGGTCATGAAGCCGTCATGACCCAGCACTGAATATGACGACCAACGACACTCAACTCAAAATCGTGGATAATTTCGTCTGCTTAGGCAGTACACTCACATACGGCATTAAGATCTCCAAAGCTAGCTATGCCTTTGGCAGGATTCCGAACTCAGTGTGAAGTCGCCACAATTTTCATCTGAACATCAAACTCGGCCATCTCGGAACTAACTCGGTTGTTACTCTTCATAAGGATTTCAGTGTTGCCGAACTTAAAGATGATGCCGGGTCCTTTCGCATGAGCCGCGACTTGGGAGTTTGTGTAATTCCTCCTTATTCTGATGGGCGCTTGGCCATCCGCGGCCCGATAAATCTTCCTCTTTCTCTAACACACTTACCCTGTCCGAAACTACACCAAACAACTTTTGACGCTTCTGAACGTAGCTTGACACTTGATGGTTGCCACCGGTCTGTGTGCAGTCCCAAAGTCGGGCGGCGTGAGCATGCGATCGAGACTTGTTCAGAGGCTCTTGACGTACTGGAGAACTCGCCAGATTTGGGTTCCATGCAGATTAGTCTCTCGTCTCGTCCTTGCGTGCGCGGGCTGACGAAGTTGCGTGGGTATTCATTCTCATTCCTTGAAGATGTTCAACCCAATAGCCTTCTCTTCAGCTTTACTGCACTGCGCCCCAACACATGGGTACATTGTCTTCACTCAACGGACTTTGTGGATGATTGGGAAGCTAATCTTGAAGTCCAGTACTGGCATCGTACTTATCGTTTCCCCGAACGCCTCGATTTTCGTTTCATCACAATGTTTACCCCAAGCGGGGGGCATAAAGTAAGGTCATTTGTTTGCTGCCTCTCTTAGACGTCAAATACATATCCGGAAGAGCATGCTGAAATGTTCGTTAAATAGTATCATCTGATCTCATTCGATGTCTGCGAGGATACCACTCACATAATAAGCCCCGAATTAAAAGACCAGTAACTCTAGCCGTTGTAGGACAGCGTCGGTGAACTCAATGGCGTGCTGCTAGCACACAGTTACCCCCCTCCCTACTCATGAGCTGAGTTACAGCGAAGTCCACAAACAGGCGTCATCTCTCCCGCGTAGGCCGGCGAGACTTGCCACCGTTTAGTGTTTGGTGGCTATACACCTTTTGACTAAAGCTATGCTTCATTTTCTCACATCACTTGGAAACAGGATCGGTCACAGGCCCGTGCCAAGCACCTGAACGTAGGTTGTAGGGCCAGAAGAACCACAACCACGTCATGAGGCCGAAGACGTTGACCGCCGAACCGGTGAACTTACGGACGGGGTAGGTACATGCAAGTGAGAAGACAGGATGATCACTGCGAACGGAGAGGGCTGATTTTATGTCAGTAGGATAAAGTCCGAACTGCCTAAGGAGCGTTACCTGCTAAACATCCGACCAGAGAAGCCTTTATCGCAAAAGAAAACACGAATGACTGATAATTAACATTAGCCGGAGCGTCAGAATTTATGTCACGACGCAGTCAGCCAATCGGTTGTCCTCCATCGGCAGGCAAATTCGCTATGCTTCTGCGGTGAGCCGTCGCCTCGTGCGGCAAACGAGTAATAATCATGCGCAGACGTCTGGCTCTCATGGATTAGGCGCCGCGGATGTTTTGCACATGTCGCGTGCATCGGCACGTACACACAAATTCGTGATTTCGGTCTGTTCGGCCCGCAACTTCGCGGTGAACTGAACCGAAATTCTTTCAATGAGTAATAAGTGAATAGGCCTCAAACTATTTAGGTCGTTAAGACGAGGTCCCCAACCGTCTGACACGAAGAAGCACGGAAGCTTTATTCCGTAAATCCCGTCACAGTAATTTTACTATTTAGTCCGAGATTGTATTGGCATCGCATCTCCGCGTTTGAGGGACGTGATTGACCCAGGAGTCATCCTAAGCCCGGAAGTCCTTATTCGGCCCCTCGTGGTAGCGGTTGGTGGTGTCGACTGTCCTAACACGAGGTGCCCACAACGGACTGCTCTGCAGATGCGCTGGATCAAGAAGGGGCTAGACTGGCTCACGGCACGAGATAGTCTGTTCGCGTGGAAACATGTTGACCCCATAACCACTGCCCTATGGAGGAGGTGTGGTGGCACGTTCAGGATCCTGAAGCTCCTGAAGCTCTGTCTCAGGACGTACTTCACGTTCGACGGGACAATCTACGAACAGGTGAAGGGCACACCAATGGGTTCGCCGATTTTGGGATTCATCGCCGAGGCGGTCCTGCAACGGTTAGAGTCGCTGGTCTTCCAACACCACAGACCGAAATTCTGGGCCCGGTATGTGGATGATACCTTCGTCGTCATCGAACGGGATCAGGTGTTGACATTCCAAGAACATCTCAACGCCGTCTTCCCGGACATTCAATTTACGATGGAGGAGGAAGAGAACAGCCAGCTGGCCTTCCTGGATGTCCTCGTATGCCGCAAGGATTGTGGTGGACTAAAGACCAAAGTGTTCAGGAAAGCGACAAATAAGATGCAAGTACTGAACTTCAACAGTAACCACCCAATCAGCCACAAACGCAGTTGTGTAAGGACGCTCTATCGGCGTGTCGAAACGCACTGCAGTGAGCCGGAAGACACAATTGCTGAACTACAATGCCTCCGACGGGTCTTCAAAGCCAATAGCTACCCGCGCAACTTCGTCGACCGGTGCATACGCAAAAGGGACGAAAGGCCTAACCGCACGGACACCAAATCTTAGCGGGCACTTCCGTATGTCAAGAACGTTTCGGAAGCTGTCGGCCGCCTTCTCGCACCACTTGGGGTTGGAGTGGCACACAGACAGGAGGCAACCATCAGGCGTCTTGTCATGAAACCGAAAGACCCACTGCCACGGCTAGAAACGTCTGGAGTCGTATATCGGATCTGGTGCAGTTGCGGACAAAGCAACTACATCGGAGAAACCGGAAGACAGCTCCGAATGAGAATGGCCGAACACGCGGCAGCGGTGCGCAGAAATGGCGCCAGCTCTCAAGTTGCGGCTCATTCGACGAGATCCGGCCACACATTCAAATTCGATGAGGCCGAAATTCTCGCAAGAGGTGACAACCGCGTGAGCCGGGAGGTACTGGAATCATGGTTTACTCGCTCCCAGTCCATCAACAAGTGCAACGATCTTCCCACTTCATACTGCGTGTTAAAATTTCGCCTAGGCGGAGTAACAAGCCATGCGGGGAGCGCAGAGGTGAACACTCTTCCCAACACCCGGGTCAACGCGTCAGATGGTCGAGCAATCATCACGCCAACATCCAACGCACGTGATGAAATTGCAGCAATTATCGACTCGAATGTCGGCCATCAAGCAATGATCACACCAAGTGTGACAATCCCGGATGAAGAGGGAAGCCGTGAACGTTCATAGGGATGCGGTAGCATGGCTGCTGCATCCTATAAATACCGCAGCCCCTTGTGCAACAACCACCCGTTTCTGCTCTTTTGTCTCTGATGATGGATTCGAGTAGGAATCCGAAACGTCAGGCTAATAAAGCTCTTGTCCCGGCGATCGTGTCTCCTTCTTCAAGACTACTTCCTGGGACTCGGCTCTTCGCTTCTATTGGCCTTGAGAAACCTCTCCCCACGGCACATCAGCACATTTCTCACTATAACGTATATGAGTTGATTGAGTCTATTAGAACGTGATAGCATTCTTGGCTTGGAGGGCTGCCAATTGACTGGGCGGCTCGGCCCTTCTAATGGCTGAGAGTCAGACTGAGTGGCTCCTTCTCAATGTCATCTTTATGGCGCTCCTCCACATGTGAACCCGAGCTGTCCTTGTGAAGGGCTGATGTAATTCTATCTGGACCAGGTAGCGCGCGACAAGCGCAAACGGACTGTTTAGCTTTGCCAACCACTGATTCCGAGCCCTCCACCGGTCGTCTTGATTATTTCTTGCCACCAGAGTCAGGTGGGTGAGGAAGGGGTGGGGTAGACGTGGGTCACACGGTGGACATAATGGATCGCGACGGTCGAGTCCTCCTAACGCTTCGACCGTGGAGGACGCAGAATGAGCATGGTGGGCGGTGCCATCGACTGTTAGTCTCGATTATGCAATTATCATCTGCCCCTACACAAATGCTGCTCACGGCCACGACGCTTGCTGGCGTTGTCCTTTTCGCCAGGTTTCCTCAAATACTGTCCTCCGCGTCTCCTGTGATGGAAATATTCGTGTCCCAGATACGTTTCCCCAGCCAGCGCAACATGAAGGTGGGTTTCGGCGCTGGTGTCTGTTCAAAATGTCGCCCGATTGGTGCTTGTGTGTTTGCATGCATGTTTTTAGCGCAAGATTTTCTTCGCTAACCACAATTCCATCCGTTTGCGATGCGCATTCAAGGGAAATTAACTAGGAAAGAAATGATTGACAAATATTCGAAAAATGCATATTCGCTGAACACACCGCAAATATTTCTATTGTTTGCGCTACAGCGTATTGTAATAAGACTACGACAACTTTCTTTGCAAGTAGCACCCGGTAAATTAATTACTCATGGTTTAGGATGCGTTTCCGATAATTCCTAAATAGCGATCCTTGAAAACCGGAACTGTTAGCGATTTAAAATATTCGTTCTAAAGAAAATATGGACTCTTACAACTATTCACAAGGGATGCCCACGCTGTAGAAGAAAGCACTCGCGCCAAACACCCAAAACCTATG